CTTCCTTCTGATTACAAAACCTTTAGAAAGGCTCTTTCATCTACAGTGACAAATCTATTTTTTTTTTCTATGATGTGCATTCAAAGCCAAACGGTAAAGCAAGTAGTCTGCCCAGCATCTTCAAAAGCATAAACTGTTCTGCATGAACACAGCTTGGGTATTTGCTAAGCTTTATATTCAAGACAGAACAGCTATGCCCATTTAAAAAAACAAACAAAAAAAAAAAAACCAGCACAAGTTTAAACAAACACCTGGTAAAAAAAAAAAAAAAGGAAATATAGACATGTAGCAATAGACTGTTTGCTCAACTGTTTGCTGAGAACATGGCAAACAAGAGCTGTAAAGCAGGTCTCCGTCCTGCCATTTGCTCAGCATTTTGGCACCAACCAGTGCACATACACAGGCAGAAAGCCGGCCAACTGCAGGCTCCCCAAAACCATTCTGAGCAGTGGTGGGCATACTGGGCAGACAGGCTGTGCCCGGGTGGGCATACTGGGCATACAGGCTGTTTAAAGGCAAACCAAACACTAGTGAAGGAGAGACAGCTACGCTACAGGAAGGAAGACTAAAGAGACAAGTCAACTGTGTCTTTCCCCACCACTGTAAGTTTTACCCTTCATGTATTATTAACAACCAGCACATTAGCGCTCCTAAAAATCAATTCACTGTGAAGAAAAAAAAAAAAAAAGTATCAGACACACCACTTTGTGAACCTAAATAACAAAGTGAAGCATTTCTTCTGCTATTTCAAGATCAGCCACGCCAAATTCAAGCCATTTTCTAAGAAGTCTGCAAAAACGTTATGCTTTAAGAAGTATTAATTACCACCTTGGCTGTATGGTGTTTGTCTACAGTTTAAGTTATGCTCCATAAAAAGTCTGAAGTAGCACTGTGCAGACTGCTGAACATTTTTTCTAGCATTGCCAGGAGTACATCACCCACCCATCTGCAGTTAAGACAACTGAGGAGAAAAATTTCTCCATTGTTTTCACAAGAGGTATGCCAGTTAACTATTAATTTTTAAGTGGGAGCTTTCATGTTCATGAACATGAAAGCAGAGTTAGCTCTCTAAAATCAAAGCAGAATAGGCATGAAGTATGACTAAGCCATGAAAGAACCGAGAGGCATGCAGTTATACAGAAGAACAACCAGAGGATCACATAAGATGCCACTTTGGACCCAGTAGGAACACTGGGTTTGGTTTTTTCCCCCTCCTACTACATACCTACCCTCCCTGCTAAATCCAAGTGCATCGTATTCGTATTTTGTTTTAGAAACCTTCTAAAACTGCACTTCATATTACATGCCAAGGGCTTGAAAAGTCTTCCTTTTCACTCTTACACACATGCTACCCACCTATGCTTCCTCACACTGCCTGCCCTATGCCCTCCAACGCCAGGATCTCCATGCGTGCCTCCATTACCTCCCTCAACCCACCAAAATCCATGGAATGGAAGAACTGTACATAATAAAGAGGGATTTGGTACAAATGCAGAAATGCAAGAAGTATCAAGGTCAGCTCTTTTTATTTCACAGTCTTCTCTGTCAGTGCCAAACACCAATCTTATGGAAATTCAAGAACCTCGTTTGGGCCAAGGGCAAATTCCCTTTAAAGAAGACTGTTTCCTCAAACCAGCAAGCTAGAAGCTGTCTTACAGTATTCTGTCTTTCTCTTCCATATACTACCTCTGGTTTTGCCCCCAAGGAGCATTCCAGCACCACACAGGTAGTAACCATCTATATTGTGCAAGCATAGGTATATTAAAAGAAAGCAAACACTAAATTACCCTCCAACATTACCTTTTACCAGTTTCAAATAATTATTTATTAATAGATGTTCAACAAATCTCTGCGCAGCAGAAAGTTTGAATGTTCTAATATTGCATTTCTTGGCTCAGGGTACTCATTCATATTTTAATTTTGCTCTTCACAGTCATGGGTTATATATTTGCTGTGTCATTTGCTTTTCTCAACATACAGGCCTTCAACTAGGCCAGAAGTAATACAATCCCTTGCGCCCTGGTTTCAGAGTTACTGAAATTGTAGCTTAATTCAAAAAACTGGTAAAATATAGGCAACACATTTTGGTAAATTACTGCCTTATTGTAATAGTGAAAATGCAACTTTCAGTCTTAGAAAGAGACAGGACCTTCATAGCAGCATTTCCTAGCAGAATTCATAAAACACTGAAAGCACGTAAATTTGCATCAAGTGATTTTCAGCATTACGCACGCCAGCATTTCCTAACAGGCTCCAGATGTCAGTCACCTCCTCTTAGTTCTCCTAAGAAAGAGCAGCTAGCTACTTGTCTCAATTTGTTCTCTTTCCTTCCTTGAATCTGTAACATTAACTGTTTCTCAAAAGATCATAACAGGAACCTAAGGAAATGCCCAGAAAGAATGTGATAATATATAACACTTAGGTGTTCAGAAAGCCACGAGTTCTCATTTAAAAAAAAAAAAAAAAAAAAAAATAAATTTTTTAAATATATATTTTAAACACAAGCTTTACACTTGTGCCATTACTGGGAAATACATGATTTCACACATTATGAAACTGCATTACATTCTCAAATGAACTGCATTTTTTGTGTGTGTTGACTATTAAAAAATTTCAAATGCAGACATGAATCCTTGCATTGGAAAAAAAAAAAAAAAAAAATATATATATGTATATATATATTTTAAACACAAGCTTTACACTTGTGCCATTACTGGGAAATACAATATTTCACACATTATGAAACTGCATTACATTCTCAAATGAACTGCATTTTTTGTGTGTGTTGACTATTAAAAAATTTCAAATGCAGACATGAATCCTTGCATTGGCCCTTTTAGCTGATTAGTAATATCCTTATTCTTATTATTTATCCTTTATATACCTTGAAGTAGCATATGGATCAATGCAATCCATCAGCAACAAGTTGAGAACCACTGGTTTAAGAAAATAAATCCTACTAATCTGGTAATAGGTATGAATTGTCTTGGCAAGCTGAGATTAAAAATAAATAAATAAAATGTAACCACATAACCCTGAATTAAAAAAGCAGAATATTTTCCAACTGTCAAAAAAGGAATTCCTAGAATAAAAAGAAAACAGCTGTCCACCCACTGTTTCTTTCAAGACTGTATTTTCAACAACTAGTACCCCAAGAAGAACTAAACCACAATTAAATAAGAAAACGGGAAAAAGTTAAAGCCTCAGCTCACTCCACTTGAGAAGCCTATCATCACCACAAGAATATAACAGCACCAATAGTTCTTTAAGCTTAGTTGATACCTGAAAACATGCTGCCACCACCACCCTCTCCTTCCTCAGGACGGGTAGTGCCAACGTTAGAAGCCAAATGTTTGATTTGATAAAACATTTGGAACAATGACTCAACAATTTAAGGAAGAAACGTTTTCCAACATCGCTACTCACGGCTACCACAGAACAGATGCAGTGTTTCCATGGAGAAAAGCAAGTTGTCTGTCCATTCGGTAGGGAAACAAAGAGGACATTCTAGAAGAGAGCAGCGTAATGTTTGAATTGACTCAAAACAGACTGCATCATCTCTGTCTTCTGTATGCAGACACATGCAGCCTGTGCAGTGTGCTCTGAGGCTGGGACACTACTCGCGTGGTTTATTTGTATAATGAAGTAAAACAATTCTTTTAATTGATGATCATCTGCTATCGGTCATGCACGAGTTCTTCAAAACATTTCAAATTGAAAAGGTTGATCATAAATTCAGTTAACATTATTAAGAGACTAAATACTGTGGGAAAATGCCATTCAATGCCAACTCATTTCTAGGCCCAAAAAAAGAGATCACTTCAATTTGTTAACTCTGCTAAGCACAGCAGTGCTTTGCAAAATACATATAAACATTGAGACTAACAGATACAGAGTAAATACTCTAAAAGGATTGCGTAGAATCAATAACTGCTGAAAATCTCACAGGGATCTGCAACCAGGGAAGCCCATCTGCAATCCCTGTGGCAGTCAGCTAGGAGGTATCTAGAAAACAAGTTCTGACCATACCATGAAGAAAATGTACCATGTACAAAATAAACCAAGAAATCCCTTCTGTAAAAATGTGATATGGAAAATATATTTCAAAGACCACCACAACCCAGTTCCCGAGAGAAAAACAAACTCACCGCATGAAGCACTACGTCTGAAATAACAGCCTGAACAGCATTTCTTAAATATCTGTTTCATACTCTTGATGTTCATAACGTTACTGCCAAGCTTTCAGAAGCTCATGAATCATTCCTCAAATATCCTGACAATGGTTTAGAGAAAGTAACTTGGAATTTTGAACCTGGAAAGTTTTCTCTTCTGCTCCATGAGTTACTCCAAGAGCTCAGACCCTGCAGAGTTACAAATGCTTACAACTCCTAAAATTACTGCGATCTTAAAAGTTTAAAGCGTATAAGCATCTTCTATGATTCAGATCTAATTCTTACTACAGTTCTAAAAGTTGTATTTGTGGTCTCCTGGGCTGGCATTACATTTCTGTAAAAAGTGAGTATATCTATATTTCCAAAAGCACTTAAAATAATGCTTTTAGTTGAATTTGTAGGCTTTTGAAATTCATACACAATTTAAAAATATAACCACATTTCAGCTTTGAACAAATAAATGCCTTCGCATTGCACTGCTATTTGCTTCTTGCTACCTCTTTAAGAATATTTCTCTCTGTGCGAGAACGTGCCAGATCACAGAGACCAACTTAGAATCATAGAATAGAATCATAGAATGGTTTAGGTTGGAAAAGACCTTTAAGATCATCAAGTCCAACCGTTAACCTAACACTGCCATTGATTAATGAGATTAATTTGTCCACAGCAAATCCACAAACGGACCAGACTGGGGCATACCCACCAACATCCTTACTGAAACAATTCTGGATGAGGTAGACAGAGCAGAGGGATAAACTGCAGAAAGCAGCCAGCCTCACACACCCTCCACAAATAGCATTTCCTGTTGCCATCATCTTGTTTTGTTTCCAAGGAGGAATACAAGGATAGTGCCCCGCTACCAGGTATTAGGCAGCCAGATTTCTCACGTTTTGGAAAATTGCCATGTCAGCACACCCAGAGCACAAGAGCTGAGCCGCATCCTGGAGGAACAGTCTTCCTCATCACGATGTCTCCTCTGCCACGTTCTGCGTCTATTGGAGAGACTTCATATCGGGCAACCAAAAAGACCAAATCACCACTTTGCAAGCATTGGATTACATTTACAATGAAATAATTCCACGGCACACAATATGCATTGTAAATGTCACATAAAGCTTCAAAGTCAGTTCTGTAACAATTACAATTAGTTAAACCAAAAAGATGGATTTGGAAGCCAGAACTCCTCTTGTAAAGATGCAGCACGCTTTGTACTCCTAGCCATCTAGTTTTGGCTGGGGTAGAGTTAATTTTCTTCATAGCAGCTACTATGGGGCTGTGTTTCGGATCTGTGCTGGGAGCAGCGTTGATAACCCAGGGATGGGTCGGGTCCTGCTGAGCAGGGCTTACACAGAGTCAAGGTCATTTCTGCTCATCACCCCACCCCACCAGCAATGGGCTGGGGGGGCACAAAGAACTGGGAAGGAACATGACTGGGACAGCTGACCCCAACTGACCCCAGGGATATCCCACACCATGTGACATCATGCTCAGCATATAAAGCTGAGGAAAGGAGTAGAGGACATTTGGAGTGATGGAGTTTGTCTTCCCAAGTCACCGTTGCACATGATGGAGCCCTGCTGTCCTGAGGATGGCTGAGCACCTGCCTACCAGTGGGAAAGAGGGAATGAATTCCTTGCTTTGCTTTGCTTGCATGCATGGCTTTTGCTTTACCTGTTAAACTGTCTTTTTCTCAACCCACAAGCTTTCTCTCTTTTCCAGTTCTCTCCCCCATCCCACTGTGGGGGAGTGAGCAAGCGGCTGGGTGGGTTTAGTTCCCGGCTGGGGTTAAACCATGACAATTACTTAAATACAACCATTTTGGAGCTATGAATTCACATCAAGGTCTCTCTGCATTCAGTTACTGAAGCCAATTACTGACACAGTAAGTGAACTTCTCTCTGAACCTAATGCTCACGACTCAGTGCAAATTCAGCACGTTTTGTCAGCTCCAAAGCATTTATTGAGTGAGTGGCAAGTTCAGACTGAAACAAGCCTGAAAGGACTGTAGGCATTTGATAATGAAGCAAGTCACAAACAGCAAATTATTATGGTATTGATGTAGCAGCCTCTGTAGTAGTCACTGTTAAACCAAATTGATTATCTGAACATTCCTCAAGAATTTAATGGTAAACAGTACAGTACTCAGTAACAGTGATTGACTGTGGGATTACAGAAGCATCTTCAGGTATTATTTAAGTTGAAATGAATAGAATTTAAGAAAGAATTTATATACAAAAGAGAATTAAGAATTTAAGATTTCAATAGAATAAGGGTTGGCATTTGGGAGTCTACATTTGATTACTCATTCAACACATGGCAATTAGAAGAAAGAGAGAATTTAAAAACACAGCTTCAGTTCTATTTTGTCTCCCAGAAAGCATGGACTTTGATGTCGATTAATCAAGTAATATGACCACCTGAATATATTCCTCAAGTACATCACTACTATAAGAAAATAATAGGCATCATTTAATCAAATGTTTATCATGCTAAGTGCCATCAGATCGTATTTATTTGTTTAACTAGATACTCTGCTTACTGCCAGCATCAAAACATATGGGCTGGGATGTGCCTAGTAAACCAGTGCTTTGTACCTCACTTTTAAAGGTAGAAAAAATTCTGCATTTAAAACTCAGTTGATCAGGTAGAAAAAAAAAATAAAAAGGAATCCAGACCTTTCTCTCAGATCTGTTGTTTGCAGATACTGGTACAGGAAATAAAAATTTCCTAAGAAAATAAGCAAGAACTAGTTTATATAGGATCATTCTTATGACATTCTACTTCAGCTCATTCCAGCCCAATATATATCCAATATATATCCAATATAACCATCATATGAATTATAGAGAGGTATACCCTTCTCAAAAGCAAACACTCACCCTGTGTGAACCACAAAGCCTGTTTCTCATACCATGTTCTTAACGTAAGTATGAATTTTATAAGGGACAGATTCTTGAAGAAGTGCATTACTGTTTATTTTAACCGGGCATAACTATTAAATTAACAGCATGAAAGCAATCCTTTGCTCTTCTGAAGTCGCTACCAGGATTACTCCAGGAAATTACTGTTGCATGCGAGTTTACTATGTCTTCGATCCAACTGAAAATACAGTTTACTTTTGCTATCATAAAAATACAAAACCAAAAGCTTGTAACAAGTTGGGAAGTATGCCCAGTGGTATGACACAGCTCTTTTGACAGTGTCATTGATTTGATGAATGTAACATGAAATGAAGAGTGGCTTACAAATTACTCATACCGAATCATATCTATGCAAACGATCACTAGCAGGGCTCCTGAAAAACCTTTCAACTCTATTTTTGAGGGCTTTTGTTTAGATAAACATTACTGTGAAGCAACGAGTATGTTCGGTGAAACAAAGACACCCAGAGGATATTCCAAGCAGCCCCAACACTGTAATGCAAACACTATGCCCTGTCATCACTCATCCCACTATCAAGCACCATCACACCACAGTATAAGGACATCCCCATAAATAGCTACCGGTTTTCTGTAACTTCAAAGAGTGAATCTCTCTTGCCTGAAGAACGCGGAAGACACTCCTAATTTATTGTAGACTTAGAGGGACTGGGGAAGAACAAAGTTTATTGTTTGGGGATCAATCTAAATGCCGCACAATGCCATCCCTCATTGAAGACACGACTAATCTAGAGCTCAACCAGCAACTTTAGATTTGTTTCTTAACTGAGGTAGGTAGCAGACACTGTATTTCCACATCATAGAGATGACTTGAACTGTTTTCCATGTGAGTTCACAGATCCATAGCATATTCAAGACCAAAGACTTTTCATTATCTTTCGACATCAGGGCTTTTATGGCAGCCAGGCCTGCATGCAAATCTGTATTTCTCCACTGATTTTGAACCTGCTGGGTAATTTCAACTAAATAAAAGACAGGAGATTTCTAAAACCAAATATTATATTCTTACAAATTTCACAGAAATAGGCCAACCAGTAGGAGGGAGACTTGTGTTCAAACAGTCTCGAGTTTCTCCCAATGACTTTAGATCAGACCAACTAATTTCTGAAGCAAAATGGAAAAACCAAACTATTGCCATCGATGCACTTGGTAGCAGCGGGTTATCAGGATGATTGGAAATAATATAAAATTTGAATATAGCTAAGAAGGCAACCATTATGAGACACAAATCAACTGAAAATTAGAGGGGTTTAGTGACATTGCTAGGTTGGCAAATAAGACACATGGTTGTTTTTCTACCTTGGAAAGTGCAGGATATTCACTGCAAACTGCATAAACAGGATTCTGTCTGCATATGCTTGGGAAAGGGAAAAGGCGGGGTAAATTCCTATAACTAAGAAACTACTAAGAACAAGATGAATCAGATCAAAGATAGTAAGAGGCTTAGGACCTCAAACCATCAGTCAGATATTACAGCAATGCCATGAGAAAGATAATTCATTAAAGCTTCCACTCTGCTTATGGATTTTAATTCTGCATCAAGGACATTTTAAGTCACCTCATCTTACCATTCTGTAACTTGCTATGTTCATTCAGATTCCTAAATGCCTTGAGATTCTCACTAAAAAAAATACCATTGAAACACAAAGAATTGGACTATTGAATATGAAGCACAAATTAGAGAGGATGTCTGTAACAGTAACAAATTATTTTGGGCTAGCAATATTGAGCGTATTTTTTTTCTTCAATCTATGTTGCTATTTCTAAACACAGGCTGTTTATTTTTAAAGAAGATTCCAGTCTTTAATTAATAAGGAAGAGCTGATAGCTGTTAAAAAGCTTACAAAAAAAAATCACAGAAAATATGATGCACTTGAAGTTGCCACTGTACACGTGCATTATAAAAATGTCACTGCTGTAGTCTATTAAAAGATCAGAAAGCACATGATCCTCCTAAGCACACATCATTCTCTACAGAATGAGTCAAGGATTGAGAAATAGAGAAAGTTTTCACCCGAGAAAGTAAATAATTGCCACCTCTTCTGGTGAGCCCACTACCAATGCTTACCACTTTTCCTACATTTTTCCAAGGAAATTCTTGCCTTTCCCAAAAGCCCTCCATTTTGATACAAAGAAGAGTAATTTGTTTGGCTGTCCACGCTGACTTCTGATGATAACGCACTTCAGCCATCTCAGTGAGTGCATTCAATTATGATTTTGGAATAGTATGGCATCAACTTTAAGTTACCGGGGACCTAAAGTTGAAGTGAAAGTTTGAGAAGGAAAATATCATCTCCTGTCAGCCTCAAACCCAAATGCCTATAAACAAAGACACAGGGCTTCTCCCTAATGCAATTACAACTGAAGCAGCTGAAACACAGAGGCTGCTTTTTATAGCAAGAATTTAATTTTGATAGACTTGGGTGAAACTGTAACTGTTTCACACTCTTTGAAAACATCAAGTCAGCAACCCCTTTTTAGCTCTCTGTGTTCTTAGCCTTTTAAATTAGCACCATGACTGCTATACGGCTGGCATATAATAAAGTAGAAGTACAAATACAGAACTTAGATAAATATTGCAGTGATGGAGTGGATGCCACTGCCAAGCAGAGAGGCAGAATGAGAGTGTCAGGTAACTCTATCAAATACCGAGTTTCTCTCTTTGCCTTGCAATTTCCCCTCAAAATAAGCTAAAAATATAGGCAGTAAGATTAGAAAGAACAGGAAACTAAGCAGCTTTTAATGGTGTTTCTCCTTGAAACAGTAGAGCGAAGACATGTCTTAGAAATTACAAGAATATATGGTACTATTCACGCAAGAATCTTCCGTCTGAGCTTGTACAAACAATTGATGAGACATTCCAGGTGGAAAACAGTTAGGCGGGTGCTAAGGTAGAAACTTGTACAGTCTGTCCTTAGATACATCTTTTAAATTCTTTCCAGCCTTTCGAAGACCAGGAGCTACACACCAGACTTGGGGGTGTTTCTCAGAGTTAGTTGTACCACTGGAAGTCATGCGAGTGCAACATCACTCCGCAAAAATAACTGCA